AAGCATGGGTGCCCATCATCAAGACTGTATCGGACCGGAGAGGCCCCTTGTATATATTCATGATGAGGGTGCGTTGTGTTCAGGAGAAGACGACAAGATGACATGTGGGCCTGGATTCCACAAGCATGGGTGCCCATCGACCTTCATTTTCTACGGTCAAGATCTCTTAAGCCACCAGTACTTCCTAAAGTCATGCCACTTAACAAGCCACAGTTTTAGGAAATGTACGGGCCACTACAGGAGCGCCCAAATTCATCCGACTAGAAACGTTTCTACTCTATTTTTTTCCACGACCAAGAGCTGGGCCTAAAGTCGGGCCTGTTAACAAGCCACAATTTTAGGAAACGTATGGGCCACTACAGGAGCGCCCAAATTAATCCGACTAGAAATGTTTCTACTCTATTTTTTTCCACGGCCAATAGCTGGACCAAGTACTGGTGGTTTAACCCTTGCTACCTTTTCCACCCAAATAGAACACCGGTCATTATCACCGCATCCAGACTGAAAATTGTCCCAAGTACAGCTAGTATAATGACCGGACATTCTATTCGGGCAAAGACAGCAGTGGCTTATCTTCAGGGAAGATGAGTAGGGCCCGGTTCCCAGCACGTGTCACTCCTCATGAATAAGATTGATGCCATCAAAACCCAGGGCCCTTACTACAGACATGGCCTCTTATCCCTGCCTGCAGTAAGGGTACCGTGGCTGATATTTTTCTTAAACCACCAGTGCGTCTGAAAAAGCAGATTGAGCCTCTCCTCAAAATTTGGAGGCCATGGACCGTCGATAAAATGAATCGGCGGTTCATGGCCTCCTATTTTTTTAGGAGAGGCTCAATCTCCTTTTTCGGATGTACCGGCAGTTAAAAAAAAAAAAAGAAAAGAAAAAAAAGAAGAGTAGATCCTAGAGCAGTCAAGGAGGTCAACTGTTACTCCCTTCTTAAGGGGTTTGATGTCTCCCGCGAATCTGACATCTCCCGGGGACTGAACGTCAAGGAACTCCTGCCATAGTAGGGGCATACAGATTTCCAGGATGTGTGGGCCCACTGTGGCTCCAAAGGTTCTGCAGCCAGACAAAAAAATATGAGGCCATGTCTCATTGGTGCAATTATTGTTCTGATGATATAACAGGCACGAACCCGACCATAAATGTTGCCAAGGTTCAGCTCGAAGCACCTTACCACTAACATAGCACCTGTATGACCTGGCCCTTTGCAGGGCGCCTTAGACTGAACAGGAATGTATTGTACAGTACAGGGCATGTGTATGGGAACGTGCGAATGCCATGCCGGACTTGTTTCAATCAGGCACATAACCCTGTTATGCTCCTGCACAGTTCGTTCGCTCATTTATAGACAAATAAACAAAATGCACCTGTTTTTGGACCAGAACAGGGCTTGTATACGTAGTTTCATGAGAAAAGTGCCAATATAGTACTGCTACCAGATTGAAGCGATACACAGTACGCGAGCTCGAGGGGCAGAACCCTAAAACCTAAACCCTAAGCCCTAAACCCTAAACCAATGGGAAATCGAAGCAAGTTGGGAAAGCATTGAGTACGGCATCCCTCCGCTCTCCTGTCCTCCTCCTCCTCCTCCTCCTCCTCCTTCTTCTTCGACTTCTGATATTACTGCATTAGAGTTTTTTTTGTGTAAATTAATTGTCTTTTGTATGCTTCTCGTGGGAGCAACGAAGTGTGATTTTTTGGGTTTTTTTAACTTTTTTCAGCACGGCTCCGGGTTTTGGCATTCCATGATTATCAATTATAATGTGCATGATCAGTCTTGAAGACCACCCAAAAATGGACCACATGGCCAAATTCCATGGAATACGCTACGTACAAAAGAAAAAAAAAAAGAACATTCATATACACAGTTTTTTTGAGTATGAGACTCAAAACTACTCAACCCTGAGCTCGAGACTGGTGCGATGCCGGTCGCAGTAATACGGTCTTCAGCCGAACAGAACGCCCGGTCATTATCACTGAATCTAGACTTAAAGTTGCCCAAATACAGCAATAAGAACCAGGCGTTCTATTCGGGTGAAGACCATAGTAAAAAGAGTTTTAAAAGAGTTCTACACCGGTACTTCGGTAGAGCAGTGCCAAAAGAGTACTGGCTCTGGATCAACGAGTTGGAG